GGCATGGGCGTCCCATGGGACTGATGAAAGACCGATGCAAAGTACCTATTTAATAGGTTGGCTTTTTCCTGGGCATCAGTTGTCAGTTGCCCCATCTTTTTCAGCAGGGGTCCAATGTTGCCCCTGCTTTTCCTCTGGCTCCCCACATAGCTGGAAAAGGACTTTTTATTGTCCTTGATGCTCAAAGCTAGTTGGAGTTCAGTTGCAGCCTTGGCTTTCCTGGTATGCTCCCTACAGGACCGGAAAAAAAAAGTGATTCTTTTTCTTTGGATTATTATTATTGCCACAGCCATAGCTGTTTCCATTTTTCCAAGGTGAATTTTATGTTATCTTCTGCCCATTTTTCTAGTCCCTTTAGGCTCCCCATATTTATTTCCCTTCATTTGTGTTCGTGCCTTTTCCAACTTTAATACCTGCTACATTTTTTCCTGACATGCTGTTTAAACCAGACTGGAGGTAAGGACTCATGGTTACCTTCCCTCAACTTGGCTTCAGGTTTTTCTACAGTTTCAGTTCACATTATGTTAATCTTATTTGAATTACTTTTTCAACAAAGCCTTCATTCAATGCTCTATTCAGTGCTTTATCAAACTCCTACTACATATCACATCTGCATTTACCTCCCCTACTAATCCAAGATAGGAACCTGGACATCTCCAAGTGTTCCTTAGCCCAGGGGTCAGCAGTCTGCTGCTTGTGGGCTGGATCCAGGCTTGGAGTTGCTGGAGCCAGCTCACAGATTTGTGGGGAATTTTGCACATTTCTCATTGCAGTCAAGTGGTAGACAGTTTCCTTTATGCCATGGCTGGGTGGCAGGGAGAAGTCTCAGGCTAGGTCTCAGCGCCAGCCTGTGTTGGACCCGAGTCGGGTCAGTCTGGCCTATAGCTGCACAGTTTGCCACCTGCTGCCTGATGCAAATGAACAGCAAGGCTGTGGTGAAAGGGAAGAGCCGGGTGACATTTGAAAGGACAAGGCTGGGGCATGACTTTGTGTGTGTGGGGAAACATGCCTACCTGTTTCCCTCTTGCTTGAGGCAGCAGGACTCCAGCGCCAGCACAGGCGGCCCTGTTAAGCCCCCACAAGCATGTGGCCATTGCCTTCGGAGGAATGAACGGCTGCTCTTGCCGACATGCTGGGTGCCTTGTGTCTTCCCCGTGTGGTGCCGGCCTTTGTGACCTCAGCACCCTTCAAGTGGCCTTTGCCACTGAGCCCCTGCATATGTGACGGGGGGGCTCAAAGCCTGGACTCCAGGGGCCAAAGAGGCCCCAAAAGCGTTCATCCCTCCCCCCCGGCTCTTGGGAAAGGGGCAGGGTCCTGAAAGGGTGGGTGCCTTGGCTCAGCAGGCATCGCCCCGGTGCCCGCGCCATCCCCAGCCCTGTACAAGGAGCTGGCTGCAGTCAGCATTGCCAGGTCTTAAATATAAAGTTCTACAGGGTTTAAATTACACTTTGACTCTCGCAAAAAAAATTTAAAAAAAAGAATTGGGCTGCCCATCACGATGCCCTAATCACATTGGAGACCCCCCAGGGTTATAATTTACACATCCCTTATGGGGGGCGGGGGGCTCAGCCCCCTGAACTCCCTCACAACTCGACCCCTGAAATGATCGAAGGGGAAGCTCAAAATGATCACATTGCCCATTGCAAGAATATGCGAAGGAGTATGCAAAACCCGCCTTTTCTTACTGACTTTATATTGCTCAGTGTAACTGGCCAGTGAGTGGATGAGGATGGGGTCATCACAGATGAGGCGTTTCTTTATTTGAGGCGAGCAGTCACGGAAAAGTGCTGGTGGCCACCCCAAAAGCCAGCCAGCCCCCCCCCGAGAGCGGGTTTTGCAGAGGCTGCCTCCGAAGTGACTGCACGAGCACATCCCTCCTGGACACTTCACCTCTTTTAGGGGGGACGTGGGACGGTAGAGACCTCCCGGCCGGCAGGGGGCGCGGGCGCGGCCGCGGGGCACTCGCGAGGGGGGAGGGGCCGCCCCTGCTGAGGCGGGGCCGCTCCTCAGCGCT